GGAGACGCAGCTGGAGAGCATCTTCGAGGAGGTGGTGGTGAGTCCGCCGCGGAGCGGAGACTTCCCCCGTCCCCGGTGGCGCTGGAGGCTGCGCGGGCCCCGGGCCGGTGCAGCGGGGAGACCGCGATTTGCAGCGTTTGCCGTGAAACGAGCGGGGTGTAAGAGGGTCTTTAGGAGCCGAGCAGGAGGATCGGGTGGGCTGAGGCGGGAGGGGCTGCTGGAACTGGCTGTAGCGGAGCAGAAATGTGCCTAGGCCTCCTGGGGAAGCCTCATAGATGATAGTGCAGCCGAAAGGTGACTTTCCATAGGTGAAAGATTATGTTTCTGCCTCGCGCTTTGTGTATGGGCTGTGTTTCTGTTCCGTATAGAAATGGGCATCGTGCAGTTTATAATATTCAGTTGTCCATGCCTGATTTTTGGCAGTCATTCAGACCTTGTTTTCAGGTGCTGTGATTTGGCAGTGACAGGTTTGTTACTATCAGTTTTTGAGCTGTGTTATTTGCTTAAAATTACTGTGTCACACCAACCGAAAAAAAAAAAAAGCCCCTAACTAACTTGGAGAGACTCGTGGGACTTTTCTGGTTTTGGGATTACAGTGATTGCCTTGGTCATGTAAAGTGATTAACTGATGGATCTGAATGTGACGATTGACAGTGCCGAGCACCTCTGTCTCTGGGCTTTTCTGAGGCGGTAACTGAGAAGGCAGCAAGTTGTCACTTTCACTGCTGTTACTGCCAACTTTGCAGGCAGTAATGAAACTCAGTTAAGTTTCTATGCAGACAAACAAGTATTGCGTTCTCTTTTGCTTGTTGAGAAAGCTGTAAGTAGCTGAGGCAGTCAGTGCAAGGTTTTACAACTGAGAAGAATTGCTGGAAAGGAAATACACTGGAGGAAACAGCAGGTGATAAAATAATAGTGAAAATGTGTCGGTTACAGACTGCGCATCTGGATATAGTACAAAAGGCATTAAAGGAAAAAACACTACAGGGAACTGCTGATAAATTAGAATAATGGTGAAGAAACTTTTCTGCAAAATAGCACATAAAAATGAATGTTTATAGAAGAGGTAGACTAGGTGTTCATATGTAGGTTTTCTTGCAGAGAATGACCATGTGTTCATTAAATAGAAATTAAAAAAACAATGGATCTAAACTCAGAAGGGGAAGCAACTCTGCCTAAAGATTTACATAACCTAGTATTACAGATTATAACTGGGATGGAAAACTTAATAGGATTGAGATTAGGATATGATTCAGGATAGCATTCGTTATTTAAGATATGAAAGAAAAGGTAGAATAGAATAATTTCTTCACCATCAGAATGTAAATTATCTCCAAGTGTTCAAAAGAAAAGTATTTCAAAAGAAAAGCCTTCGTTATAGAATCCCAAAATGTTATATAAAGTGAAGTAATCTTGACTTCTGAAGAGTCAGACTTTACAAAAAGATGTATCTGTCTGAAGGCCTTCTGATAACAGTCTGTAACTGTAGTACTTTATCATGGTGGTTTAGCACTCCCACCAAATCTTTTCTCAATGTTCTTACTCGGGTTTTTTTTTTTTTTCTTACAGAAAACAGAAGTAATTGAGGAAGCTTTTCCTGGGTGAGTATAATGCCAGTTTTGGGGGCATGCTGCATTTTTTTTTTTTTTGAAGAATTGTATTTTCTACATGTCTTCTTTCATTGGTGTACTGCTAATAAATAATGTTCTTATTTAAACCAGTATGTTTATGGACACTCCTGAAGATGAGAGAACCAAACTGATCAGCTGCCTGGGCGCTTTTAGACAGTTCTGGAGCAGTCTTTCTCAGGTTACCATTTAATTTGTTTTGTGTGTATTTACTTGCAGCTTGTCTAGTAGACAGACACTTAACCGACTGTATTTCCAGGCAGTCAGAATCTGATGTCATACACGGCATGAGAAAGCATATAGAAAGACTTTGCAAGAAAAAAAGATCATTTTTTTGACTTTAATAGGAATATGTAGCTGCGTAGCAAAGGTTTGTGTACAGTGCTGATAAAAAAATGGAAATCAAGTTGTAATTTGAAATGAAAGGGTTTTTTGTTTGCTTTTTGTTTTTAGGATTTTGGTTAGAGGTGAATGTTGAAAACGGATATAGTTAATGAAAATCAATACTTATATGTAAAATTTACCTTCCAAAAATTAGATCTCTCTAGTCGTTCTTCTTGTAGTTTGAGACACTGTAATCTTCATTTCTAGCACATAGATTGTAACTGTGAAAAGGGAAGAATAATACAGAATAAAGTTATCTGTGGAAGATAGTTTAAATTAAAAAAAAAAAAAAAACTGACTCTAGAAATCAGTATTTCAGTTTGAGGTGTGACTTCAGAAGGAATTGTTTAAGATGCCCTATCAAAATAGAATCAAAAGATTTATGGAAAACTGGTTGTTAGGGAGTTGGACTCCTCATATCCTAAATCTTGAATTGTTACTCTATGTCAGCTTCCTTTCTTCATAGTAGGTCAGTATATGATGTTTTAGTGTTTGTTTCACTGCCTGCAAGTCTATTATTTTTCTCTTGCATTTTTTTTTCAGGAATCCCATGAACAGTGTGTCCAGTGGATTGTGAGATTTATTCACAGCCAGCACAGTCCTAAAAGAATTTCTTTTCTGTATGATTGTTTAGCAATGGCAGTAGAAACTGGACTGTTGCCACCCAGGTAAGTGAAGGGGGAATTAGTCCATCTGTGGTAAATGAAACGAAATACTGGGGAGTTGTTTTATGATGACATTGTAAAAGTATTGCTGGAGACCAAGTGTTATTGCTCTTCAGTCATTCTCACATTATATCCTTCTTCTAGGATGGTTTGTGAATCTCTGATAAATTCTGATACACTTGAATGGGAAAGGACGCAGTTATGGGCATTAACATTTAAATTGGTCCGGAAAATAATCGGAGGCGTAGACTACAAGGTATCTTCTTCCCACTCTTTTCTTTCTGGCTTTGTTTTTATTATTTTATGTAGGCGATTTCCAGTGCTCCAATTCCTGCTTTTTGATAATCAAAGAGGAGAAAAAAGAAAAAAAAAAAAAAAGCAATGGAACCGTTCTTAATGCTTTTTCATAACTGAGCTTTACCTTAATAAACAATACCCTGTAGAGGCCTAACCTTTCCTACTCCTTTTCTCGCCTTTGTAGTGTTCCATCCCTATTTCAGTTACAAGCCAAATAACCCTAATATAGATGTATAAGTGGTATACTTGGAAAAGGAATTCTATAAAGCATTAAGGCTCATATTCTCACATCTGTGCTGCCTTTTTTGCTATTTAGCCCTGAAAGCTGGGCCTTTTGCAGACTTAAGATTGCAACAGAAGCCGTAGAAAGCCACGCGTGTGTCTCAGTGGAGCACTCCCTAGTATAGGTGCTCATGTTAAAGCAAAAAACTAACATACAACATGATACTTTGGGCAGTCTGAACTAGCCATAGTCAGCTGGCCATTGTAAGTTGGATACCTCTGGATGCACATCAATGTTCAGCAGTTTTTGCTCTGGAGCCTTTGCAAGGTTCTGTAGAAGGTTTATCGTCATTAACACAATCTAAGTAGCAGTCTGTCTGGTGGCACTTAGAGACCTGTAGCTGATTAGAGGCACATAGCTTATTTCACTGAGAGTGAAATTGCCTAATAATTCTTATTGTGTAATTTTCTTGGCATAAATAATCTTTTCGTTTGTTTGTTTTTGTTTTGCTTTGTGTGATTTTCAGGGTGTGCGCGATCTGTTGAAAGTGATCCTGGAGAAAATCCTAACAATTCCTAACACCGTGAGCTCAGCTGTCGTACAGCAGCTTTTAGCAGCCAGAGAGGTAGCTATCTAAATTTCATACATTGCTCTAGGGGGAAAAAATGGACATAATTTCTTTTGACATTCACCAGTTGCTGATAGACTGAGATGCCCCTCTGAGAGTTGGTACAGACCAACAACGAAGGCTCAGTCTTTGTGTTCTGCTAGTTCTTTTTGGTAAATGTGCTTTAATCTTATACAATAAGCAGCTTTGGGGGTTTTATGGAAGAACACTGCAGTCTTTAAAGAGTTTTCACACCGCACATTTGACTTGGTTAAGATGTGTTGTATGAAATCAGTGCTGAGAATTAACTTCTCTCCATTTTCTTAGGCAATAAAAACATGAGTTGCTTTAAATATTTGGTGACCAGACATAGAAGTATAGTTCTAGAAAGGCTTAAACAGGCTGAGGATTAAATGATGTAACTTATACTTCTGTAATCAAAAATACCTTATAATCTAATGTAATATCTGAGTACAATTTAAGAAAAAATATTCTAATTCTTGTTGATACCTATTTTTATGACACTGATTCAGACTAGTAAGGTGACTACGCTTTTGATTATTTTCTCTAAAGTGTTTTATGCTAATACATTTTTCTGTTTTTAGGTGGTAGCCTACATTTTGGAAAGAAATGCGTGTTTGTTACCTGCCTACTTTGCAGTTACAGAAATCAGGAAGCTATATCCTGAAGGAAAGCTTCCTCACTGGGTAATAATGATCTCAAATCACATAATATGGAGCTGGCTTTCACACAAAGCAAAGATATACATGATGATTTAAAAAATAACATTTTTTAAAAAGTCCTGTGCCCAGACCCTTAGTTTATAGGTTCGTTATAACTGCAGCAGCAGCTTCCTGTGTTCTTGCTTGTAATTCAGAGCATAGTTTGTACAGCTAGCCTGATTTTGAAAATTCTTGAAGAACTGAGTTGTTTTTGTTGAATAAATTTGGGAATGCGCATCATGCTTGTTTTGTGCTTCAAGACAAGAAACCACTTCAAGTTCCAGACCAGTGGTCTCTTTTTATTTGTTTAAGTTTTGTTATTTGTTTATTTGTTAAGTTCAGTGCAACAAAAACAGTTGATGTCTTCTTAAGAACATAATGCGAATTCGGGTTTGGCTTTGTATTCTGTTAAAATAACCAGGTATCTCCAAAAGATAAAAACCCGATCCTCTGGAATTAATTGGGAAAACTGTCTCTGACCACCCTTGAGCCAAGATATAGTTGAAAAATGTAGTTGTAGAATGGACTTTGTGAAATTGGTATCTAGCTAGAACTGGCATTACTGAATAGTGTGCACTGAAATAATACGGTACATTTACGAGAAACAGTTACATCGACTCTCATTTGATACAAAGTTGGAAGAGTGCTTTTTTTCTCCTCATCTTTATGGGGTTACATTTTTCCTTTTGTGGTTTTAGCCTCTGAAATAGGCAAAACAACTAGTTTCCTGCATATATGTTTTGTTAAAATGCATAAATTATTTTTGGTCATCTTATCCTGAATAAATATATGTAACTTTTTTTTCTTTTTCTCATGCAGTTGCTGGGTAATTTAGTGTCGGATTTTGTGGATACCTTCAGACCAACAGCAAGAATAAATTCCATTTGTGGTAAGAGATGGAAATGTTCATCTAAGCAAAATTATTTAGATCTTATGATCTATTCTATATCTTTCCTCTTGGCAATTTACTTTCAGACTTTTTTTGAGGGGAAAAGCCATATTGATGTTCAGAATCATTTTTGACTATTTAACTGATAGTGGACTTCTTGCTGCAAGGCAATATAGTTTCTAATCTGGCCTCTGTTTTTGTCTTTTATTGAACTAAATTTTGAACGAAGATAGGCTTAAGTACAGCGTTTTTATTTTTGAGGATTTCAAGCTAAGAGAGATCCAGTGCTATATCAGTCATGGAATCTTTTTGACTTTGCTTTTCCACTGGAGCTTTTGCATCTATGTAGCTTTATCCCTATCATTGCAGATGTCTGGGTGAGCACCACATAGCTAGGATGAGTACTGGCTCCCTTTTTCTATGAAAGAAAAGCTCCCCTTCATTTCTTATTAGAAATTTGAAGAAGTGAAGTTTGGATGTTTAAACTGTGATGTTGGCTGCTGTTTTATTTAAAAGGATGAAAATATTTTCTGTATATTTTGAAAATGAAGTTGCTTGATGAGTGCAGTATTATTTCTTAGCTCTGAATAAGGTTAATTGTAACTGAACTTCTTTAATGCAGACATTAAATGGGTAAATTCATCTGTAATGCTCCAACATATTTCATGTTTCACAAGCATGTAACTATTATTTTATTTAATAAACTATAGCTTTTGTCCGTAATGTTTCACAAGCATGTAACTATTATTTAATAAACTATAGCTTTTGTCCATGTAATTTGGGGATTACAGATTAATTTTTATAAATCTTGTAGGTGTGAGTGGCCAGTGAAGAGCTGACTAAGGGGGAGATATAAATAAGTTTTGCTTTGTACTATGTGATAGTAATTTTGCCAATTTGAACAATAAAAGCTGTGGAAGTTGAACTGACAGCGAGAGTGAGATTCAGTTAAAAAAAAAAATACAACAACACTTTAATGCTTACCTGTTGGGGCACTAGGGGCTCCAGACCACCCCTGTTCAGATTGAGAAGATTAAAGCTTTAATTCCTTGCTTTATAATTTATTAGATAAAAAGTTAGCTTTCTGTTGGGAAAAATAGAGCTTGAAACTCCTTTTTAAATCAGAGGAAATTTAATGAAAGCATAAAAGTAGTTGAGCCTACTTTTTAAATAAAATGTTTAAACAATAGGCCCATTTCACTGTTTTAGAATTTACAATGTTTCATTGCATGTAGGTCGCTGTAGTCTTCTCCCTGTGGTAAATAACTCGGGTGCCATGTGTAACTCATGGAAGCTGGATCCTACAACCCTTCGCTTCCCTTTGAAAGGTCTTTTACCGTATGATAAGGTATGTTTTATTAAACTTCTTAAGTTGTATTTAGTGAATACAAAGCTTTTATATCATTAGGGGAAAATAAACTCATCTCAGTTTTGAATATCCAGTCGTTCCAATTAGGCTAACATTGAGCATTTAGGTGTTTTCGCTGCATTAGAAATGTTTTCAATCTGTATATGGAGGACCTTTAAAGCAGTGCGTGGTGTGATTGCTGGCCTGGGTGCTGAAGAGCAAGAGATTCTGTGTGTGGTTTGTGCACATGTGCTTGTAGGGGAGCAAGTGAGTGCAGAGAATGGATTGGAAATTAGACTAGGCGAGGAGACTGGGAAGGTAGTTTCTTTTTTTCTGTGCTCTTTGTTATTCTGTAGGAAAACCTACTTTGTAATTCACGTTTAAATATAATCTATTTAAAATCAAGCCTTAAGAATGTGAAATAGTGATTTAGTGAAAGAATTTAAGAACCATAAAGGATCAGGACAAAAATTCGCCTTGTCTGGGATCTGATACCCAGTACTCTTGATTTCTAAGCAAGAGTGTAAAGATAGTGTGTAAATATATAAAGGCATATGTGGTATTCTCAGTCTACAAGCATTTCCAGGCTGGGGTTTCTTGAGGCAGATTTTTTGTGTGTGTGTGTTTAGCAGCTCTCAGCCAGGCTGGGGTTTCTTGAGGCAGATTTTGTGTGTGTGTGTGTGTGTTTAGCAGCTCTCAGTGAATTCCTCTTCCAAACATATGTTCCTTCTCCTCTTGAGTCCACATAAACTTTTAGGATCTTCAGTGTCCCTTTGACAAGCAGTTCCACAACTCAGTACATGTTTCACAAGGAATCTGCTCCTTCTGTTTGTTTTGATTCAAATTCTGGCCTTTTTTAATCGATTAACATATCAGAAGATGCAGTGAGCAGTTAGTTCTTCCACACTTGTTTTCTCTGTGCTACTTATGTTTTCTTTATGGATCTCTCTTGTATGCATCCTCAGTTGTCTTACATGGTTCCCACTGAGTTCTTGATGGTCTTCCTCTCTACTCGGTCTTCATAAAATCTGCCAGTACTTAGCAGTGTGGTTACTTGCTCCTTTCTTTTGGGTACTGGAGAGCAAAAGGATTTTGCCACCAGACAATTCGTATCTGCAGAGATAACACGCTCATTTTTGTATTAATTCAGTTAAATGGTAGCTTTAAGCATAATGTTGAGGCAATATATGTTTGTATGTGTGCCTTTTTTATTTATTTTTTGAAGGATCTGTTTGAGCCACAGACTGCTTTGTTGAGATATGTGCTGGAACAACCGTATTCAAGGGATATGGTCTGCAATATGCTAGGTCTGAATAAGCAGGTACTGTACTGTGCTGTAACATGTGATTTAATTCTGCATAGAATCTGCACTATTCTTTTTCTCTTTTCTTTGCTATAGCTAACTAAGCAAAACAGTTTAGGTCCAGATGGTGATTTTTTTTTTATTTTATTTTTTTTAATGAAATCATATCAGGTTAATTGGACACTGTTGTTCCTATCATTTGTATATTGCTTTACCAATGTTAAATTGAAAAGTAGAGATTTAAAATATGATTTTTTTTTTTTTTGCATTGCTTTTTTTTCCTATAAGGCCAGCCTCAAGTATACCTTTGACAGACAGTAGGTGACTGTTATCTCAAAAAATAAGAAAATAGTTGTTGTTTATATTGTTAGCTTCCAAAACATTGTTATATGTTGCTATATTGGCATGTTGTAATACCTGAATAATGAAGAGCTGGATTTTGTGTTGGTTTTTGTTTGTTTGTTTTGTTTGTTTCTTCTTTCTTTTTTTTTTTTTTTTTTTAACTTGGAAGGGGAGGGCTTGGTCTGACTTGGGGTTCCTTGAGGCTGGCCTCATAGTCACTGTTTTGTCTTTTCTTTTTTTCTTCCTTTATTTTTGTTCTGTCCTGTCTTGTCCTGCCCATCCTCCAATGCTCTAGACCTTGAACATTGCTCAGGTATGTTCACAACCTTACTGTTGTATTGTGACTAACGATACGCTGGCCGCTTCGTAGCCACTGATTCCAGTTAGCAAATACATGTACAGTCAGGGCTTGAAATTGGCAGGGCCATTAAACAAGGGCAAATTCTCATTGCAAATCTCTTGCAATAGAAGAGATGAAAAATAAAACTGACATCAGTAGTCCTTTGATACTAACATTTTGGTTGGAATGGACTGCTACCTTTTCCCTTATCTGCCATTAGAACTTTCACTTTGCTGGAATTTTCAGACAGGGAGAGATTATTAAGATTTCTTTCTGTATGTGGGTGGAAAAACATCCCCTGCACCGATTGAAAAAGTATAAAATTGTAAATACAACCAGAAATGAAAAATGTAGAAATGAGCTTTTCTAGTGGAGTTCCGATATTATCAGGAAGCCTCTGTAACAAACTTCGCAACAAGGAATTCTAATATTCTCTAAAATAGGTTGAAAAAAATATACAAATACCAGGGGAAAGATAGTTCCAAAATTTGACCACTTGTAACTAATTCACGGCCCGAGCAAATCAACCAAGTGGGCTTTGTTTGTAATATAGGTCCTATATTTATAACTGAACCCTTCTTTTACAATAATCACTTACACACCTGTTTTAAAAAATCATTTAAGATTTATAAAATAGCGTTACTGTTTGCAATACTATAGTGAAGGTTGTGTCAGTGTTTCCGTTTAAGAAACTTTTTTCAGATTTGTGACTTGACTATAAAATTTACATGATTCTGAAACCTTGTGTATATTTCTCATTTTAAATGAAGTAAAGAAACTATTTCTGGATTTGGACAATGTTTTTTGAATGTGCACATTCCTATATCGTAGCAAACAATACCCTTGTGTCAGACAGAACAATCTTTTTGAGATTTTTAAAGCAGCTGAAATGGTAAACCTTGGAAATGAGCTGCTAGGTTTAGTGCTCAAATGAGTAGTATTTGTATTCTGTGTCGATTTCTGTGTCTACATTTAGATATTAAAATATTCCACTCTGTATCTTGTAGCTGGTAAATAATGCAAGATCAAGACTAAAATATTGAACAGATTTTATTTTTCCAACTATTTATTGGGGGTCTGTGCCTTCAGGTCAAAAAATACTGATTTTAAAAATGCTGGTTTTAACTCCTACTTTGCTATCCTGTAAAAATAACTGAAAGAAATTCAGTCGAAGCTATGAATTGAAGTATATTGAGGTATACTTTTAAATTTTTTTTTGTAGTATAGGAATTTCTACACAAAGTTTCAAGCTGCCATGACTTTTTATGGCTAAGGAACAAACTTGAAGAATGTAGCTTATAAAGGAAATGCTGACAGAACGTGATCTATGGCTGTGCTACTACAGTTGCACCAGCATAAAGATATATAGTCTGATGAAGATCTGCCAGTGAAAATGCAGGTAGGGAAGCATAGCAGCGTAGAAGAGGAAATATTGAATATTCTATTTAAATGTTGTTATACTCTGCTTAAAACTGTGAAAAACAAAAAAAAGATGTTTAGTTACAAATTAACTCCATATTATGGCTGTATTTGTAAATGTAGCCACCTGATGAAAGATAATAGCATGATGCTTTTCAGAAGTGTAGCTATATTGGTGATTTCAGGAAAAAACTCTGTGTAATTCTGCACATTTAGAACTCAGCTAACATGTGTGAATTGAAGAGCATGGGATTGTTAGTGTAATAACTACTATGTAAAAATACAAACAGTGCCAAACTTGTTTCAAAATAAATATAAAGGAGGGCTTAATTGTTGTTCTGCAGTTATTTCTGTATTTAGGGAAGCTTTGTGTAGGCCATGTCAGCAGTTCACACAGATCTGGTTGCAGGATTGAGCCTTCATTGCCTCTCTCGGTGTCACAAACTAGGTATGGTTCAGCTAAACAGGAATTCTACCTGATTTCTCAATTATTATTGCATATGAACAGTTAAATTGTTGGTTTCTGTTTTAATTAAGCAGAACTACATTATAAATGTGTTTAAAGCCTCTTTACATTTTGTAAAAATTAGAAGTTTAGTTGTCCTATAAACCTTGCAGAGAGAAACACAAAGATTGTTTGATACGCTTATAGATTTGTACATGTTCCCATGGGGATTTGGTTTTTGTTTGTGGGGTTTTAGCACATGATTAATATACTGTATCAAGTACATGAACTTCAAGTCCAGATGTTAACTGCCCAATTTCTATTTTCCTATTACTTGTGTTCTTCCCATACTTATTTAGCTTTATTTAAGTATGTGAAGATATGTAACAGATTATTTTTGAAAAGTGATTAACAGCTTAATGTTACTCGGGCCAAATAAGATTCAGCTTAGAACCCTTTTTCACAGCACTTAAGTTTTGTTTCTTGGAATATAGCTCTACTAATGTCCTTAGCCAGTCATGATGAAGTCACTTTTGAAAATTTTGGATTAGATCTTCATATTTGCTGTACATACAGACTTGCATAAAAAAGAAAATGTCCTTCTTCCATAATTACAGTCTACATGACATCGCAGTCCTCTAAACAATTGGCTTTAACCTTATACTGAGCTTTGTTTTCTGTGAGTTGGAGTGAAAAGAATTCTCGGGTGTCTTGTTTCTATAATGTTATACACACTTTTAATTAGCAGGTATAGTGTTAATTTGCTCTTTAAGGAGCATACTTGGCTGTTTACCTTTAAACAAGCAGTGGTAATCTGCAGCTTTGCGTAGGAAACCATCTGTACCATACTTTGTCCATGTGAGTGAGTAGTTATTTTCTGGCATGGCTACAAACCAGAGTTGGCCAAGAAAGATCGTATTTCATATTGGGCCACACACTGTGGAAATGAAATTAAAATTTCAAGTGAAAGGAATGACAAGGCACAGAATTGACTTCCCTTTTCGTTACATTCTTAGAATATTATCTTTTGATACTGGGAACTTTTTGGTTTTGTCAGTGTTAGCATGGCAAGGTGCCAATTACTTTATTTTTCAGGATACCTAAATGTAATTTCCGTGTTGAATCTCACTCCATTTTTAATGAGGAGAACTTCAGAATGTCCACTGAACTTTGCAGAAACAGGTACTATATAAACAACAGGCTTCAGGGCTATTTTGGAAAAATGAGATGAGAGGACTCTCTTATTTTCTCTCCTGTCCACTCCTTGAGGCATATTAATTTATGCGTTTTGAATTGCACTTTTTGAGACACACTTTCACAAGGATCCAGGAGTCCAAAATTTGGTCTCAATTCATTTCCTAAATATAGGTACTTATTAAATATTTTTGAGCTAAATTATCTCTCAAAAGTATTTGAAAGCTATAATAGCTTGCCTCAGCAACTTTTTTTTCCAGTAGAGCAGAGCTTCAATAGTCCTAACAGCAATAAAAAAAAAGAGAGAAAAAAAATAAAAAGTGCCACTATACCATTATAGGGCTGGTCTTGAGAGAAATGTCAGAATGCATTGGTCATAGTAGCACTCTTTCTATATTTCTGTGGTTTAATAACATTTGCAATGAGCTTATATATTTCACATTCTTTAAAGACTTTACAGAATTAAATGCAGGATATATATTTATTAAAACAAATTACAAAAAAGATCATGTTCTTTAAATATTTTTTGAAACAAAAATACAATGATTGTGGATGCTGTATTTTTTTTTGATATATATAATCAGGAATGGTTTGTTTGTTTTGGCCATACCAAAATATATTTATTTGTGTGATCATCAGCTTTCACTTGTATTTTTAGCCTTGTATCTCAATACATATTGGATTGTTATCTTTCAGTTATGAGTAGCTAGTAAAGCAAGATCCCAGTCCTGCAGACTCTTTAATAAGCACAGTATCTTACTTCTTTTGAGTGCACCAGGAGGTTTAGATTCAAAACTTATACAAAAAGCATATTCACTGGAAATAGAGGATAATACCAGAGAGTTAAAGAATTGATATAAATCATGAAGCAATGCTAAATTATGCTAAATTTTTCTTTAGAAATTGTTCTTAGAAAAAAAATGATTTCAGAATAAAACATGAATTTATTCTTTGAATTTCCTGGCTTCTAAAACTAGTCTCAGAGTTAAACAGAATAGCAAAAATTCCTACTGGAAATTCTGGCTTACTTTTTAACAGTATTGTTTTCCTGTTGTATTCCTTGAATAACTTTATTCTAAATTAATAGAGCCTAACGTGGTTAGGCTCTTGGACTTTAACCCAGTGCTTAGCACACTAGGAAATTTCAAGCCCTGTACACAGTAGTTTTGCATGCTAGATTATAAACTAGTTGTAGTATTGTCTGTTGCACCCTGCTCTGCTTCATAATTAGTTGCTTTGGGGGCGGGATGGGGGAACCAAATTATTCTGACCTGGTGGTGCTGGTACTGCAAACCTGCAAGGCGGTTGATCCGGGCCAGGGGCGCTCTGTGTTGGAAGACAAGGTGAAACAGTAGCTGGTGCTTTCTCTTTCACTCGGAAGCTTGTGTTGAGCAGCATGCTGCCAGACAGCCAGCTGGAACTGCAGCTTTCTGCAGGCTGGAGCTGGCAAAGAGCATGTTCCAGAGGGGATGCTGTTCATTCTGTTTGGTCAAGTTTTTGCAGTCTTGCGTTATGTTTTAATTTGAAGAGAACCCCTCTTTAAGGGCAAAAGACTGTCATTGGCAAAGGTTAGAACAAGCATCTCCTTTCAGCAATGTTCTTATCTTTTATTATTTCTTCTTTTCTTTTTAGATAAGATTTTTAGGCTGCCTGGCTAGTAAGCCAAAGAACTCATCCAAGGCAACCGTAAAATGTTTTATGAATATTTGGATGACTTGTTTGTTTTGGGGCTTTGTTTTTTGTTTTTCTCTTTAGAAAGGAAGTTTTTGAGCAGTTCCTTTTCCTTTGTATCATTAAAGTAATAATGTTTTCTTTAAGGCCGCATTATGTTACAGGCATCAGGCGTAGAAAATACAAATGTGACCATTCTTAAATCAAGATCATAATGGCACAAATAGGGGTTTGATATTTCCAAAGTGCTAGCAGTGGCTGAAGTATGTTTAATGTCACACTTCTTTTGTCCTTATTAGTAGTACTTTGTACCAGTATAAACAAGTAAATGCAGGGTAATACAAGCTTCTGCCACTGTGGCACTTATCCGTGATGATTAAAAAGTTA